ATACTAAAGACATTTCTGGGTCTAAGGGGTCCATCAGCACTTAATGCCAACACAGACTGATCAAGAAGGATCATGTGTCTTATAGAGCAGAAATGGTCTTTTCCCAGCAGAAACTGAGCTGATGATGATGGTGTCATTTCAAATAAGTGGAAGGGTGACATGATTGTGGTGGACTGATAAATCAAAAGTACCCTGGGCTGTAAATCCATCATCCTTTAATCATATGTATTCGTTGTATTGAAGGCATTGCTTCTTATTTAGCATTATTTTTCATGTAATCTTTAACTGCTGTTGATTTCAGATAATTAACAGGAGTGCATGGTTAAAAATAAATGCAGCGCCAAAACAATTTGGTTAAATTGTTTTATTTATTGGGGCCAAATTTTTTTTTTAATTATTATTTATTCAGGAAAGATGCATTCAATTGATCAAAATAAAAAAGTAAAGATGTGTATAATGCCACAAAATATTTCTATTTCTAAAAATTTTTATTGAGTTATTAGATGCATGGGGGCCATTTGTATATCAGACGACTGACGACTTTTTTTCATATCCCTTGTAGGATCTCCATACTACTACAGCGCAGCCACACGGGGACCAGGAACGGCAGCTACTGCCACTGCCACTGCCTATGACCGTCACTGACCAGCCGAGCAGAGGAGAAGAGGAATGGTGAAGGAGTGGGAGAAACAAAAACAAAAAAGAGGAGTGAAAATGGATTGATAACCCTCACATGAGACTGCCTACATATGGAAGAAAAGAAGTGGAGGAGCAGCAGGAAGGAGAATGGAGAAAAAAAAAAAAGAAAGAAGAGGTGACAATGTTTTCCTGCCAATTACAATCAATGGTCCAATCAGTAGCTTCAGCTGATGTGTCTAATTTCTGTCCATTAGTGGAAAGTATACACCCATTCACTTGTATTCCTGTGGTCTCTCCTCACACTAAGGGGCTGTTTACATGACACCGTTATCAACTAAAAACGGAAGACTTTTTATGCGTTTTGACCATTCATTTACACGGCCTGAAAACGCAAGCTTTTGAAAATGATACTATTATCGTCTCCGTGTAAATTACAAAAACGTAAATTTGTGAAAATGGTGACATCATGCGCATGCATATTACATGTTCAGACTAACGGTGCGTAGTGTTTCTTAAAGTGACATCGCCAACTACTGGCCTGGCCTGCGTAATACAGCTTTTTAGGAATTTGCGCGGAACGGGAATTGTTTTGACAACATAGTTGCCTTTACGCAAAAAAAAAAACGCAAAGGACAAACGTTTCCGTTTTTAGTACACTGCTGTCGTGTAAACGTAGTACCCTAAATCTGTTATTGCTTTTAATTTATCTTCTGTCATTAAAGCCTTGCTTATCCTATCGTCTTTGCATCTCTATGCAGTCTGTTCTTATAGAGATGATCAGGTGTTGGGAGTTGGTACCAGACAATCTACTAGTGGCAGCTTGAGATGACCTATGTGATTTGAGTTCATTTGAGTCATTTCATCTACTGTGTGAATGTGGCATCATAATCTGTCTTATTAAACTTGACTAGACGGTTTTACTAGTTTGCTAAAACCACCATGAATTGATTTGGAGAGAACCTTAAGTATCAAGTGAAAGGAGATTCAACAGAGTTGGACAGATATCTCAGGTCGGAATATTGGCATTATTTACTTTAAAATTAGCCAGCGTGAAGGACAGACCCATTTCACCATTGATCATGGGATGCTTCCATTTGAAATAGGAGTGTTATTACTGTAGAGTTAGGAGAGAGATTACTGAAAAATTCTGAAATTAGCCCTGATGCGCAAGCACAAGAATATTCGAGCCCTAAATTCCAATCTAGGTACCATTCAAGCATAATGGACTTCTTAAATAAGATGGAAGTTTAGTATTAGTGCGATGCGACGCATATAAATGGGACTGTTGTGATTTCAGTCATTAAGTTGGAAAATATCAGCATTAAAGCACGAATGAGAGCACTGTATTTTAAAGACTCCTCTCCTTCCTCAGTGTAGATAAATACTATTTACGTATGTACAGAATACCCTTATTCAACTGTACATTGGTAAGATTTATAGCTATTTATGATGGAGAGTAATATATATAATTGTGTGTAAAAGTTTACTGCAGACAAATGCTACAATGCTACTGCTAGCTAAAGATGTTGCCGTGGAATACGTAGCTGGTTCTCTTTTCAAACCCCTGACGTTTCATTCCAAACGCAAATCAGTTGCAATTAACAGAGCTTGCTGGTATTGAAGTGCTGACAAACTTTTGTAAAGTCGCTACATTTCAGAAGGGGAACACTGATGCTAATGTCCCTTACAGGAAGTGATGTCATACTGTCTGTCCGTTCAAAACGTCTCCTTAGCCTCCCCAAAGATACTCTTTAGTAGTGCGAATAGACACTCTTAAAAGCACAAAGTGGCAAATCTGTTATCCGGAAATGACCTTTTTTTTTGGTTATTCTCTATGAGTGCATTTGTTTTTGAATATTCCCTTCATCCATACTGCGCCAAGACAATGCATGAGACCAAGGTGGAGGCCTTACCAAACTCTCTATGTAGCAACATTAATGCTGTACATTCATCCCTATTTGTCTGTCTAAGATATCCTGTACATCTATCATTTACAATGACAAGAGCTTTTGATATCATTATTGACTAATATATTGATATCTAACTTTAGATTCTAGTAGACGAGCAAAGACAAAAAGTGTGCTTTATTTAGCTATTGTCTGTGATGAGTGTTCCCAGTTCTTGATTTCATTGTTTTCTTCTCTTTTTTTCAATACACTGTGCATTGCTGAGTAGCTTTCGAAAAAGGAGAACACTGTAGTTGTAGTAGTGAGTCGCAAGCACCAAAATTTTGATGTGAAATAATAATAAAAAAAGACAAACCTATGAATATATATATATATAGAAGTTGATAGTTTTTATGTTTTTATGGTGTTGCTCTGGACTGTAAAGTAGTAATAGGATTTGTTTGTAGACCATAAGTTGCAAGTTATGCAACTCTAAAGAAACCCTTGATGCCGTTCACCACTAATGACTACTGGTGAACTTTGACCTTTTAAACTTTTAGTCTGAGGCATTATGAACCTGAAATACACCAGCTGAAATCAAGGACAGTGCCTTTATTTTTCTACTGAGTCATCCAAGAATGACCACACGTCACTAAATTGCGAAGCTGTCTGCATGACATAATGAGATCAGAGCTTAGCCAACCAATCAATCAACCGATGCCACTGCCCACAATTTTGAACAGCGTTTTTTACATGCCAATTTAACAAAGTAATTAAAACCCAGCAAACAAACTAGAGTGGGAAAGATGACACTCATATGATCTATTAAATATTCTAAAAGAAAGTGAGATATTATTATCCATTAAAATAAACATTGTTCTATTATATACAATATTGTACTGACAAGTAATTTACACTAAAAACAGATTAAATGAGACTAAAACATTTTAGTAAACTAATAGCAAAATGATTAGCAAAATCCACATATTCCGAGACCGAAAAGCTGTTTTATTTTCGGATGATATAACAGGGTACACTCTTAGAAGAAAAGGTTCTATATAAAACTTTAAAGGGTTTTAACAAGCGTCATTTTTTATTTTATTTTATTAAATTGTATGAATTAAACAGCTTATTAACATCCTTTACCACTAGATTTTTAAATAACCCATTAAACGTTAAAGTATTATGCAATCGTTAAAGACATTTCTCCTTATATACAACTTTTTTTTTGCCATAAAAGGTTCTCTAAAATTGAGTCAAGAACCCCACTGAACCTTTTTTCTAGGAGTGTACAAGAGAATGAATTCCTTTGTCTTAAAGTGAAAGTTCACATAAAAAAATGATACTTCTGTCATCATTTACTCACCCTCATGTCGTTCCAAGATAACATTGTACCACTTTGACTTTCATTGCATCGACAATAAAAACAATGACAAATTTTTCAAAATATATTTTGATATGTATATCCATACAGGTTTAGAATGATGTGAGGGTGAACCCCAGCAAACACAGAATGTTCCCCTAACGTTCCCGATTGGTCCCATGAGGTTATTTTTTTGGGAACCAAACAAGAACATTATAGGAACGTTCCATGTAGGTTATTTTTAGGTTCCATTTTTATAACGTAAAGAGAATGTTCTGGAAACGTTCCCTTAACCTTAAAGGGATACTCCACTTTTTTTGGAAATAGGCTTATTTTACCACTCCCCCAGGTTTTACCGTTTTCGAATCCATTCAGCCGATTTTCTGATATTTAGAAGAATATCAGTAAACAGACAGTTTCTGGTCTCATTGACTTCCATACTATGGAAGTCAATGAGACCAGAAACTGTCTGGTTACTAATATTCTTCTAAATATCAGAAAATCGGCTGAATATATTCGAAAACGGTAAAACTCAACTGTTTAACTCTAGGGGAGCTGTAAAAGGGAGCATATTTCCAAAAAAAAGTGGAGTATCCCTTTAAGGGTAAGTTCTAGGAACGTTCTGGCAACCAAAAACTAACGTTCCCAGAATGTTCCCAGAACCTCAATTTGTTTGCTGGGCCTATCCCTTGAGAATAAGAATGAATGTTAGACTAATTATGAAGGGATTACCTGTCCATTTATCTGACATGTTTTGGTTAAGTAGTGGCTATGTGTATTTCTGTTGGCTTAAAGTAGAGAGATACAAAATTAAACACACGCATGCAGTCCTTTTGTCCTTCGTCAGGTCATGTACACTCCATCGACATGATCAAAACCTGCTGCACCAGCAAAATCAAAGAACACTCCTTTCTCTTTTCTCATCCCCTCTTATTTCAATTTGTTATTTGCACCCCACCCCCATTTTACTCCCGTTTCCTCTCTGGTGCACCTTTAATCTCATTAGATCTTCCTAACCCCTTCCTCCAATGCCATCAGGATTAGAAATTCTAAAAGTTAGCCGTTGATCACCTTTATAAGAAAACCCCATTTTCTCTGAGAAGATTATATTGTAATTGTAATTTTGGTGGCAAGGAAATATCCCAACTTATCAATATCTTTCAAAAGCAGTTAATTTATTTTAGCCTTTTATTACATGTTTCCCATTGCACATTTCAGTTGAATCACGTGCATTCAAGTTATAAATAGCATTCATAAATTATCTTGGTTTTAGATAATTGGCGTGCATGTTCATTTAAGTAGTCTTATTTTTCTCATTCACTAAAATGTGGCTAAATATATGACAGGCTTTCAAATATCTTAAAACAAAGTAGTTTACTATCTAAATATGACTCCAAATTGAAAATGTTTCCAAAGTAGAGGCTAGATACACATTCATCCAGTGAACCTGCCTTGTGGGAACAGCCCTCAATTAGCTAGCGTCTCGCAGTTTTCCTCAGTTCAGGAGTCAAAAAAAAAATATTTCCGAAATAAACAAAAATTGGTTAACAATCGCAAAACAGTAATATATTTGGTAACTGATTCTACAAGCAGTACGGCCAGATCAACATTAAATGTTTCCCAGATTAAAAAAAGCAGACTTTTCAAAACAGAGGACTTGGTTATCACCTTATTGTGGCCTTCTGTGTACAATCGGAAGCTCATTCTGTAATTACTTGCTAATAGTTTCTTTCCCAATGGGTTCATAAGTATTTTTTACTCGGTTTTTGAAGTAAAGGTAAAAGATTTTAAGAAAGTTTGAAACGTTTTGACGAATTTGATAACAGCAATCAGTTCAATTCAAAAGAAAAAGAAAAAAAAAGAAAAAAAATTGAGACCAATAACATATCTGTAGCATCCACCAAAGTTAGAGATGCCTGGTTTAAAAGTATTCTCTGGTGCAAAAAAAAAAAAGTCAAATTATGAAATAAACAACATGACAGAAAGATGAAGGCAACAGATATTTGCAATGAGTAAATGAATGAACTTCTTTAAGAAATGTATATGTTTTTTATTGAATTTTCTAGTAGTAAAAATCTCTTGGTGTTTTTTCTCTGCGTGTCGTGTGTTGTCTTAATATTTGAATGTATTTACTGCGGAACAAACTTTGCCAAAGATATCATGCCACTTGATTTCAATCTTTTTTGGTTCTTCATGACTTAGCTTATTTCTTCATTTAATTAAAGTCTGTCCACAAGCTGGAAATAAATGTGATTTGATATTGATTTTCTAATGGAATTATATTGTTATAGTTATATTATTATTTGTATTATTATGATTTTATTTGTTTGTTTTACTGTTGTTCAGGGTTATTCAATTGTCTGGCATTCCTCCTAATCCCTGATACAGGGTCATAGGCTACTCTGTGTATGTGCATATGAGTGAATGTTGTTTGTGAATTATCAATTTACGTATATTGTAATGTGAAACTAAGAAGTAATTATTTGTAAATATTGGCCATAATTTTATTGGTTCATCAGAATAAAAGTAATTTTTTAAGTTCACAGGTTGTATTAGTATTAATCAAAAAAGCTTGGCTTTCATGATATGGGTCTTTCCCCAGTTATGTAGTAGTTCACACACATAGAGGGAAGTGGAAATGTATATTAGATATGGAATTGGGGTTGTTTGTGGTAAAGTGAATGACTTGAAAAAAAAAAAAACACTGTCATTAATACGGAGCTTATTTTCAAGGATGCAAGCATATCTCCTTATGATGTGTGTAGAAATTAACAATTTGAGCCCAAAAAATAAAATAAATATATATATATATATATATACACACACACACATATGTGATGGGTAAACAGAAAAGCACTCTTGCAATTTACAATTTTTCTTCTTTCAACAAGCAATGAAATTATATTGCTACAGACATGTAGGCTATAGAACTATATGATACCGGTTTCATAAAACGTTTAAAAGGCAACAACTGCAGTGTTTCTACACAAAAGTTGAAATGAATCTACTTCCCTCTATAGAGCTGCATAAAAACAACCTCCCCACTTTGCGCGAATGGAGCTTACCAGCGCTTCAATTTTGGCTTGTGGCCTGGTCCACAGGAGGTCTTAACGGGGTGATAATGGACCACAAACTGCAATACAACAACAACACGCCACACACACATGAAAAACAGCTTCAGCCCAGCTGGATACACACTCAGCACCAGCTGGGATTTGGTTGCGTGCCAGGTTACCATGTCTCTCACACACATTCAGTAACAGTTTTGGGTCACTGCCCGAATACCTAGTTTGCCAGGTTGGCATTTCAGGTCTTGGGTGCATTCCCAGATTAGAAGCACAGTGGCAAATTGTGATTTCTACAGAGCTTGAGTCTCAGCCAGATAACATGATGAATGAGCACTTCAATGCAGAGGAGTTCCTCAGGTGTGTACTTTTGTGACTCTGGATATTCTTGATAGTGGATCATTCTCTCCTAGCAGCCCTTTCTAAAGCTCATTAAAGCATCCAGAAGTTGCTTAGCTAAATGTGAAGCTGTGTCCCACAAAACCTTATACGTAACTCGTAAATTGATTCTCCAAACCAAGCCAATACACCTTTTCTGATTTCTTACAGATATTTGCTCAGGGATTACTTCAAATATAATGGGCATAATTACCAAGCAATGTAGTACCACCAGTTGAACATCCCTGATGAAAACAAAGACCAGCATCATGACAACATGGACTCCTGTTGTGCTGGCCCCATTAAATTCCATTTAAGAATCAATGTTATTTTTTTTTTTGAATGAGCTATGCACATTCATTAATAGCCATTTTATTAATGTGAATATCACATTAACATAATTTGGCCAAAACTCGAACGTAAATACACTATTGCATATAGCGGAGCACATCAAGTACAGTAAATATAAGCTGGAAATTTTAAAAAAAAAGCAAACAAAAGAGATTTGTTCTCATGCCTCAAGCATACATAATTGAGCTTGTTTGCCATATTTGATGCGCTATGCGTTGATCAGTGTTTATATGTGAATAAAAGCCTATATTATAACTTGTATGATGTCTTTATGTACTTTTTGGTGCTTGAAAATGTTGGGTTGCATGGACTTTCAATGGATGGACAAAAATTATAAGATAATATTCAGACCACCAGCATCATTAGGAGTGTGATATTGCCTTGTGTTTTGAGTGAAGCGGTTGAGTAAATTATTCAATGACTCACTCACTCATTGCTTCCTACTGGTGTAATGATGTAACATGCAGAAAGTTCCCCAAATGCACCAATTGACAGTCATTTGCACAAACACAAACAGGTCAGTTACATGACGATCCTGGGACGTCACGTCATACAACTGACGCTTTACCTTTAACGTCAGTTAGGTGACGGGGTAGGTTTAGGTCTGGGGTAGGGTTAGGATCCGATAACGTCATCTAACCGACGTTAAAGGGTACCCTAAAACGGCGGATGTTGACGTATGGTCCGTTATATGACGTCTTGGGATGAGACGGCGCTGGCACAAACAGGTTCAAGTGATGTTGGACTGTATGCAAGGACTTTAGGAATGGTGCTTGGCCATCAAAAACTTTTCATTATGCAGTTGATAATTATATCACAGTTACACAAATGACGTGCATTTAAAGTAAATACTTTAGTAAATATGGAAAGGGAAAACCTGTGAATGTTATCCACATTTGTTAATTACATCCACACCACAGTAGCCTTAATAAGACACAGGGAGCAATAATTGAGTGCATACACCAATATGAAGATAAATATAATTCAGAACTGAATTTTAGTCTACAAACTAAAACGAATCATCTGTGTTGGACACATTTTCTTTCTCTTCATTAGACTGGCTTCTTCAAGCCTGATTAAATAAATAATCATGACATTTTTATTTTTCCTGTCTATTTTATTTGCTCTTGCTCTGCGAGTAGAGCGCAAGTGGGAGAGATAGCCATTAGAGGGCC